GAATAATGTACTAAATAAATAGTTCTCAAAGACCATAAAATAGTGAACTCAGCTATTAGAAACACTGGGAAAATCTGGACAAAGGAATTTCAGTAAGTGAAATTCCACAAATAAAAATGAATAAATGAATCATATCAGGGAGCATGCTAAAAATTACCAAAAATGTTCACTGTCTTCTTTTGGATCAAACAATACTTTATGATGATATTTCAAGTTACTTCATTTTTAAACCATGACTAATTACAATGCCAATGTTTCCAAAACTAACAATGATCTCACTTTTAAAACATTCTTGTCAGGATAACATTTTCTTACTAAAACATTACACTCATTCCTTTTAGCCAACCCTAATATTGAGTTCCCAAAAGTTCAATCAGCTACATTTTTTAATCAAATAAGCCAATTGTTATAACACTGGGGGGAGAAGATTGGTCCAAAATGTTATGAAAAAAATAAATGACTACTTTAAATGGTAGTCTAAAAAAACGTACTCTTTTGTCAGAAAGAATAGCTTGCCATGTTACTAGAGAAGATATATACAGCCCAAAATTGATCTTTTATGTGCATTTTGGTTAAAAATTAAAAGCTGTATTGGGAATCTTTTCATTGAACTAGATCACTATTAAAGAAACAAAACTGATCCCCTTATGCATTCTGATCACTAGTACTTTTCTCAAACTCCTATTATGGTGCTGAAGCAGTCAGTTAAGGAATTACTAGTTAAGAGTCATCCCAGGCTATGAATTTAACCTAGTGTATGCCGGATTCACACCTGAAGCTCAGCAGAATACAGGTACAAGCAGAACATGATTCAATGAAATGTAAAGGATTTTACTTTTTCTTTGACCAAATTTAATTGGTATAAATAAGCAAATGCCATTCAAGTTGCATGGGGAATGTTCATAAATTAAATTCGTGTTTGGATTCAGGTATAAACCAAGTAGAATAACAAATCTAAATAGAATGAGCACTTCAAGACAAATACGTCAGTTGTTATTTAAAAGAATTAATACTGGGGTATGTGGGTAGCTCAGTTGGGTAAGCATCTGACTTTGGCTCAAGTCATGATGCCAGGGTCCTAGGATGGAGCCCCACATCAGGCTTCCTGCTCAGTGGGGACTGCTTCTCTCTTTGGCCCTCTCCCCCAACCCTGCTAGTGCTCTCTTTCTCTCCCTCAAATAAATAAGAAAAATCTAAAAAAAATTCAAAAAAAAAAAAAAAGGAACTTAATACCAGCAATATTATGCTCAAAAATTCCTCCAGGCTTCAAAGAGGAATACAGGTTAAATGCAAGTTCTAACATCACTTAGATTATCTTCTATGAAATTAGAAACGATAGTTTTAAATTTTAAAATATCTGTCTATATTTTATAATCCTACATTGTTTTTAAATTGCAATGCTTCAGCATGGGTTTGAAAAAGTTAAGGAAAACCTAGTCTCAGAACAGTAAAAATAGCAACAATAATGGGACAAGCTACAATTATTAAATTTCCACTGAATTTTTATTTTTTTAATTTTTGAGGAAACTCCATACTGTTTTCCATAGTGGTTGCACCAACTTACATTCCCAGCAACAGTGCACAAGGGTTTCCCCTTTCTCCACATGTTCAGCATTTCTTAATTCTTTTGATAACAGTCATTGTAAAAAGTATGAGGTAATATCTTACTGTAGTTTTGATTTGCATTTCCCTGATGATTTCTGATATTGACCATCTTTTCATGTTTCTGTTGGCCATCTGTGTGTCTTTTTTGGAATAATGTCTATTCAGATCCTCTGCCTATATTCTAATTAGGTTTTTTTTTTTTGCTATTAAGTTCTAAGAGTTCTTTGTGTATATGGATATTAACCTCTTAACAGATATATGATTTGAAAATATCTCGTCTCATTCACTAGGCTGCCTGTTCATTTTGTTGATGGTTTCCTTCACTGTGCAAAAGCTTTTTTATTTATCCAAAGAAAATGAAAACACTAATTCAAAAAGATGTATGCATCTCTATGTTCACTATAGCATTATTTATAATAACAAAGATATGGAAACAACCTAAGTACCCACCAATGGATGAATTAGATAAAGATGTATTATATTTTTATACTCAGCCATAAAAAAGAATGAAATCTTGCCTTTTGCATCACCACGAATGGACCTTGAGGATATTACGCTAAGTGAAATAAGTCAGACAGAAAAAGACAAATACCATATGATTTACTCATATGTGGAACTAAAAAAACAAAACAACAAATAAAACAAAACTATGAAGTATAGAGAACAGACTGGTGCCTTGCAGAGGAGAGGTGTGTTGGGAGCTTGGCAAAATAGGTGAACAGAGTCAAGAGGTACAAACTTAATAGTTATAAAATAAGTCATGAGGATGTAATTTATAGCATGATGATTACAGTCAATCACATTGTATTAAATATTTGAAAGCTGCTAAGAGTGTAAATCTTAAAAGTTCCCATCACAAAGAAACAAATCTTTAGTTTGGAATGGTGAGCTAGTTACTAGGCAGTAACTAGACTTACTGAACTGATCATTTCTCAGTGTATACAAAATTGAATCACTATGTTGTACTCTTGAAGCTAATATGTTATAAGCAAATTAATCTGCCCTGGGTCACAAAAATAATATAAGACAGGATAAAACATTACGTATTCACTGCCAAACATTGAGGTTTTATAATGAGGCTTGAGTCCCACTGCCCCCCCCCCACCATTTTTTTTTTCCCTTAAACAAGCTTTAAGGTGTATGAAACCTTAGAAATGTCTCTAAGGAGGCTCCTAATAAATGATTGTGTCTAAGAATCCTTACCTTTTATATGAGAAAACTGAGACCCAAGGAATAATGTTAACTTCTCCAGGATATTAGGGGTCCTATCATTGTTTTGAATAAAGCAAAATAAATTTTGCTGTCTAAAAAGGTTTTTAAAAACTACTGAACTCAATGGAAAATTCTTGATATAATTTAATCAAGAAAAGCTTTAAGAAGGTAAAGGAAAAAAAATAAAGGGTTCCTTACTTACTTTTCAATGAGATTTATATGAGGAAAGACTTAACATCTTCTATGACTATTTTTCAGAGGAAAATGGGGGGAGAAAACCCCTATTTGGATCCAACAGATCCAACAGATTGTGATATCAACTTATAACTCATAAACTGTAATTTTAAAAACTAAAAATAGAATTAAAAATCTGATGACTGTATTATAGTAAGGGCTAAGTATTGCTTCATGAAATTTATCTGCTTATGCTACTGTACACTCAGTCATGATGTAAAATGTATTTCTTAGCACAGGCCTCAATTGAAAGAGACTGAAAGCTACAATACTAGAATCCCAAGACATTATTCATATGTAAGTATCCGACATGAAAAGAGTTATATAACTATGTTGTGATGATTAACATTCCCAAGGTCTATAGACCTGAGCTATTTTGCTTTTTATAATTCATAGTGAAGTTATTGACATGTTGAAGAGCCAACTCTACCAGAACATGCAAAGAAATTCTAAGAATGTACTCTAATCGACAGTTTTCCCAAGACACATAAACAAAACTATTTGTGCAGTAACAAATGCAATGTATAAAGAAAGTATCTGAGAGAAACCAGGGCTCCTTGAAGAAATGGTGACTCCAAGTTTGGGCTGAAAAATTCAAGATGAATGTGGAACATCTTGCGTCAGAAAGCAAAGAAGCTATCAGAGATTAGGTTATGTCAAAAGCTGCAGGAGTCAGCTGAAAAGTTTGTCCCTGATCAAAGTTAGGACAACTTGGCTTCAAAGAGAATAATAACTGTAACAGATTGAAACACAAACATATACAAAAATTCAAGACTTCAAATAAAAAAGAACATTGATTACCTCCATGGTTGATAGAATAGCAACTCATAATTCTAAAATTGGGTAAATAAAACAATCTAGCATTTTTTTTCTCGCTTTCCTCCATCAATTTTTTTTCCATTTATATCCACAGTTCATGAAGGAAACGTCTTCTTTAGAAAAATTCAAAATTTTAAAAAAAGTGCATGACCAATTTAGAAAGTCACCAAATTATAATCCCTAATGAAATAATTATCAGTAATAGCTGCTAAAACCATTAGATAAAATATTGACACGGAACTTCATAATGGATGAATTGGGCTGGCAACACCTGAACCCACTGATCAATTTTAATATAACTATAAGTGGAACAAGGCCTCCCAATGGGAGACAGTAGGAAGTACCTATAATCAATGTGAAGTATTACTGCCTAAAAAAGAACCTGAATCAAATCAGTCTTCTAGATCTACCAATCAATTGTAAGGAAGCACAGGGGATAGAAAAAGATGTTTAAAAAGATAAGATGCAATTAGCTAAATTCAAAATATGGTAAATTCTACAAGATCTGATTTCTTCAATAAACAATGGAAAGAAAAAAGTAGGCAGGAAATCATTAAAGATTAAAAGAAACTTAAAAGACTCACTTAAATGCAACATTGTAGACCTCATTGGATCCTGATTTGCACAAACAAATTACAAGAGGACATTTTCATAATTGGGGCACTTTGAATACAGACTGGATATCTTTCTGATATCCAGACAGATATCAGATATACCAGCTGACATTAAGGGCTTATTTTTTTGTACATGACAATGGTAGTGAGGCTTTGTTATACAGAGATAAAATATTTTTTAAAATCTGTAAGAACAACGTATGACAAATATAGAAAATCAGTTGGTAGACTGACAAGCAGCAAACACTTTGACAAACAGTCCCTTTTAAAGAAAAACATTTCAGCTTTGTGGTAGGAACTGGAATTCCAAATCACTAAAACATGCTATCCCCCCAACTTCCTAATTTCAAACTAAAGATATTAAGAATACCTCAACTGGGTAAATTTCAGTTTTGTTTCTACTTCAGGATGTTTTTTCAACTTAAAATGAAACTTATACTCCATATACGATACTTTAAAATGTCACAAATACAGAGTAATACTATGTCACTATGAATGCTGTCGTTAAAAACTTACAAAATAGGAGAACTGTAGGATGAGCATGTTTCATGATCTTCTTGAAGCACCAAATTTATTTTCTTCCCTGTAGCTTTACTTATAGATGTCTTCAGTTTCTTAGCTAGTTTTTTTGGTGTGTTGGTTATAGAAGATTCTTCTGTACAGCAGCTGTAAACCTCCACCTTTATCTGAAAGTCTGGCCCTGCTTTATTACTAAAATCAAGAGCATTCATAACATTAGAAACTTAACTCACTAGAAAATAAAATTGAAACATCCTTTAGTGTTTTCATAACATTTAAAAATCACAATTTGAAACACAATTTATGTTAAAAATGTTAATGAGATAGAACCTCCCTGTATTTATTTAGTACCTAAATGACCTGAGAGAGTGGCTACAACTTCCAGAGCTAAGCAGCTTCTAAGTAGGGCCAAGTTAACACAATGCAATCTACATAAACAGGCACAGTCCTAAAGAAAAACAATAATATGCCCTGGTCTTCTTGTTGCCAGTGCTATTTTCCTGATGTGACGTCTTCAGTTATACCTTCTTGGAAGGTATTTGCATAATATGTGTGATTTCCTAAAATAACTATTCCTCCAAAAGGAAAAGACTTAAAAACTGAAGAAGGAAAGAGAACAGAAAAGGTTTCCTCTGTTGAAAGCTTTAGTGTTCATTTCTTTTTCATAAAGAGTCACTGTCTGATCACCAACCGCCATGTCTTCTCCACCCCATCTTGTACCCAATAACTCTAAAATAACACTGCACTGTTTGGTTATCTAGAGGAAAAAAACACACAAGCAAGAAACAATACAAAGACCTATATACTACAAGGCAGGAACTCCTTGAGGGAGAGTGCGACCTTGGTAATATTCCTAACCTTGCATAAAAGATACTGAATACACTATTATACCCATATGCAAAAACTCTGCACTTTTAGCATATGCTAAGTTTGCTTTGCCCTTTTTCAGACACAATGAACTACCTTTACTATAAAAGCTTGTGGTGGTGTTACTAATAATAAAATTTACTTAAAACCACAAGAAAGGTCCATCAGCAGTAGATGTTGCCTTAGATGGAAGATCCATGAGTCTCAGAGATTTTAAATGGCCAATCTATACTTTGGATACATCCAATGAATGCCTCCCAGATATTTTTATAGTTTACTTGGCATCCTTTAAACATACAGTACTCCTGGTAATGACTAACAAATGTCAATATTTAGAGAAAAACCAGAGATTCATAAATATTGAATACTTATTAAAAACAATCTTAACAAAAGCATATTTTTTAAACAATATTTAGAACATTTGTCAGCAGCTATTTTTGGAACAATTTAAAATATTTACAGAATTTTTTTATAATTATAAATCATGCGGTGTCTTCCCAAGTAACTTGCATTGCTCTCTCAATGAAAAAAATTATGATTTTTGTCTTTGTGGTAAAAACAAACAATAGCACAGTGATGTGAAGAAAAGAGCCCATTAACAGGACAGTTTTGGTAGAAAAAAATGCACTTGAGAAAGTTGATTATGGAGATAAAGGTAGTTAGATAAGCAAGGAAAATTACTCTTAGTTTCAATTACATAAGTAAGAATTTGGTGATATTTTGAAGATCCTAAATAAATTCCTGTGGCTCAAGAATTTGTAAGAATGCCTGCACAATGGCTAATAACTCAGAACAATGCATTTTATTTTTCTGTGCTACACCATTATTTACGGGACACTAGACAGAAGCCACAAAACATGGTCTGCAATAGTTTTTTCTAATGTTATGTGAGTGGCAAAACTACTCTCCAATCTCAACTGTTAAGCTCCACAGCTGAAAATGGCAAAAACCATGTATATTGTTTTATTTTAATAGTTAAGTAGCTATTAATATTTAGATACAAAGACAGTGTTTTTGAAACCCTCAAAGAAATACAAATCATACACTGATTTAGGCTAGTGGAAACTCTAGAAGAGGCCAGGAAAAACTTATGTTAGTTGAAAATGATTTCTATGGCTACCTGAGGAGTTCCTTCTGTATTATGACCACAACAAAATGAGCCTATAAAAGAGCATGGGCAATAAAAACAGCCCTAAGGATCACCCCATTTTTTACTGTTTGGGAGTACTTGAAAGAAGTATGATGTAAGAAAAAGAACGTGTCGAAATTTTACCGAAGTGCTTTCCCTATGGTACATATTTCAGGACTATCTTTTAAATAAAGTTGTTATAACTATTTTAGCATTTCTGTAACTAAATATCCTATATGAGATGTAAGAACTGTTTTATGCCCAAATTCACTCTATATAAAATAATGTTATGAGATTTCATTGTATTCATAGTTTGGTTAATAATGAAACTGTACATGTTCACAAAAATTAATAAAAATTTATCATATCCAATGAGTCAAATATTTACAACTAACATTACATGATTTCATTTTAATTTACATTGAAAAACTTCAAATGCTAAAATGGGCTTCTTCTGAATAAAGTAATTTTCAAAATCAATTTAAACATTTAAAGATCTAAATGCTTCAAAAATAATCCAAACACCTAATAATTTTGCATTCCTTTAAAGGTAGAATTTAAACTGTTCTCATTCCCTGAAGACTTAAACATACTTACAATATAGTTACATTTTCAAAACATAGATCTGTGATAGTTTTATCCACAATCACCATGTCAGTATCAAAAACTTCAGCTCCCATTTTGAACAAACAGAAAATGGCATACTGCTGTGATCCTAGGGAAAAAAGAGTGCTCCATGAGATGAATCATGCCTATACCATTTTAAAATCTACTTGGAAATGACAAGTTAGCACAAATATTTGTTAATAGATTCTCATTTTCATGTATGTTACACCGTAAACGTTAACTTTTTATAGGGCCTGCTCTGGCAGTATATGTTAACACCTTTCCCAGCCAGAACAAAGCAATTAAGGAGTATTGAAAAATAAAGCTGAAAATACAGACCTCTCAGCAGCCTACAGCAAGCACCATGTTCATAAATTTATTCCTAGAAACTCTTTAGGTTTTCATTAATTGCCAACTTATTATTGTATATATACTATTATCTCTGTCATTTTGGTTTCCAAGTCTATTCAAGAAGAAGTTTTCTATTATAAGACGTTAGGGGCAGGCATGCTAACATCAGCAAAACATTTCCCACCAAATTGACAGCAAGAGAGGAAACCACAAAAACAATAAAAAGTAGACATGCAAACAAAAAACGCAATTGCTGAGCCTTTTAATTTGGTGACTTTTTAAAAAGTATTGGGTGATTAAAGGTCTAAAACCTCATTATTGAGAAAATGTAGCTCTTCAGAAAAACTTATTCTCTATAGTAATCAGAAAGATACGCTTAATCCCCACATGTACTCCTTTGTAAAGTAAATTATATTTCCTAATTGAATAACAAATATACTAACCTGATTTTGGATTCTTCATATAAAACTAATTATGCTCAATATGATTCAGTTTTTAAACTATGAGGAACAAAGCTATCACAATAGACAAGAAAGATAAAGGATTATCATATCTTTTCCGCTTTGCCTGTAACAGCTAGAAATCATTTGAGGTTAATTTCTATGACCTAAGCAATACATGGATTTGTGAAATCTATATAAAGCTATAAAATGCTGAAGGGGAAAAAAATCAGATCAAGCTAAAAACCCTTCGCTCTTACACCCTGTTAAATAATCTGAAGTAACAAAACAAGGCAGAAAAGATCGCCAAGATTCTGGTCAAAAAGAAATACTGCCTTTACGTTTACTCCTTGCACATTTTCTTTTGTTGTACACTTCCCTTCCCCATAACCTGTTACAGTCCTTGCATAGGTTCCAATCAACAACTAAAAGTACACTAGATAGGCATTATCTTAATTAGTATCAAGCAATTATGACATATTTGTACTAAAAATAGGAAAAAGCACGGTTCAGCAAGATACTGCTTATTCTGCCTAATGACATCAATTTATTTCAGTGTGGGAGCAGCTTTTTCTCCCAATAATCACAAATTTACTATACCCTAAAGAAAATATTTCAAATATAAATTAAAATCATACATACGTTCCTTATTGCTGAAGTGATCAGAGTCTTTCCACATTAGTGGTATTCGTATATCTATGAAGGAGGAGAAAAAGAAATGATAAGTAATAATCTTGATAAATTTCATTTCTTAGAGTGAAATGAACTTCTGAATTCCATAATGGATTCCAACCATTAAAGCCAATATAAAATTTATTATTTAAATATTCTAACATAGGCAATATTTTCTCAAAAATAGCTTAGACTAGGAATATAAAATATGTTACAGTTATTTAAATAATTTACTAAAAAACCCTGCCAACTATTACTCAAGAAATTATTAAGTAAGGTCTGTAATAAGCTTATGCCATAACATTTTCATTTTGTGATTTATGTTTCTGAAATAGATGAAATAGTTGAATTTCTATTTTAGATAACCAGTTGCAACAAATGTAAATACATTTTAAAATCATAAAATAGTAGGTAGAAATGATGTCAGTACTTCCATTACGCAAACTTTAAAGATGAAGAAAATTAAGTGATTTGTCTAAGACCATTGTTAGTGACAAACAAATCCAAACCTTTCCATTAAGAGGATTTAACTTGTCTACAAAAGAATTTGCAGATCTTTGTTTATTCATGTTACAAACTACAGCATTTCCTTTAAGAAATAAAACTGGGGGCGCCTGGGTGGCTCAGTGGGTTAAAGCCTCTGCCTTCGGCGCAGGTCATGATCCCAGGGTCCTGGGATCGAGCCCCACATTGGGCTCTCTGCTCGGCAGGGAGCTTGCTTCCTCCTCTCTCTGCCTGCCTCTCTGCCTACTTGTAATCTCTGTCAAATAAATAAATAAAATCTTTAAAAAAAAAAAAAAAGAAATAAAACTAAAAAGAATAATGCATTCCTTCTTCAAGACCAAGAAAAGGGCATGTGTTCTAAAAGTGATGAAAATGTATCTTCTCTCATTCACACATTCTTCAAACCTTAAAGTAAATGTGTTAATGATCCTTATTCCAGATGTTAATCTAGACCTTTGACATAGTCAAAATTTTACTTTCCTAGTTTCCTCCATTCTTTCCTTTACTTTTAATACTAGGTTAACAATTTTCCTCTGACATTCTAGTGGTATCTATATATTTACAGAGAATCAAAGTTCTATCAACTAGATTAAGATGTATGAATTAAAACATAACACAGCACAGTAGAAAGCTCAATGATAAAGTGAAATTAGTTTCAATTACTCACAGTGTAAATATCTCAAACCTTTGTGGTGAATTTCTCTGTTTAAGACAGTTCCCTATTACACTTAGGATGTTGATATGAATATTTTCATACCTATTAATTATGCCATTTTCTAATAATTACAAATCTTTATGAACATAAGCTGCTTTGGCTACATATATGTTGTTCTTCACTTTAAGTCCTTTGATCCTTTGTCTATACTTTCATTAGTTTAGAATCCTTTTTAAGGTTCTTAATGCCTATTTCTAATTTCCTTTCTAGAAAATCTTTATAATACTCTTTCATCCTTACACATCCAACCAGACATGTATGTATGAATGCCCTTGACACTTCTGCCTTAGCAGTTTTGATTAAAAAATATTACTTATTGGGCTCTCTACATGTGCTCAGCTAAACACTTTATATATATCTCGTCTAACCACAATTTTTAAAATATTTACTAATTTAATAGCAATTGACAAGACTTGTTTAGATTTGTATTTTCTTCATTAATAAGAAAAATGTTAATACATTTATCAGCCAGTTCAGTGAATGTTTGTACCCATGACCTAAAATAAAATATAAAGTATAAATAAAAATACATAATTATTTCATCTATGTGAGTTTTAGGGTATGTGAAATAAAAATATAAACATTCTTCTTATAAGAATAATTGTTCCAGCCCCTTTTGTGTATATAATAGGCCTTCCTTTCCTCATTCATTTAATGATTCAGTGGATCTTTATCATATATGTCATCCTGAGTAAGTATCTGTCCTTTGGCTATATGCTTTACAGATCTAATTGAATCACTTAACAGTTACTGTCTATCCTAATAGCAGTACCATACTATTATACTTAATCTTTACAGTATACTTTACCATTTGCTAGAAATATATCCTTCCAAAACATCTTATTCTCAGTTGCTAATTTCTTTATGTGAATTTTAGAAGTATATTGTCCAAATTCCTCTAAAATGTTTTATTAGAATTCTATTATCCAAATTCACTTGAGAACTGGTAACTTTATTATATTCTGTCAATATATACAGTAGCACAACACAGTTACCCTTACATCTTTACTAAGGTTATTCTTGGCTATTTAATATTTTTGTTTTTTGTTGTTTTTATTGTAAAAGAGATCTTTTTGCCATATTTTCTCACTAGATATTGTTGGTTTTGACAGCTTACCACTTTTTGTATATTTACCTTGAATCTAGCCACTTTTACTGAATTCTTTTTTTTTTTTTTAAGATTTTATTTATTTATTTGACAGGGAGAGATCACAAGTAGGCACAGAGGCAGGCAGAGAGAAAAGGGGAAGCAGGCTCTCTGCTGAACAGGGAGGCCGATGGGGGCCTCGATCCCAGGACCCTGAGATCATGACCTGAGCCGAAGGCAGAGGCTTAACACCACCCAGGCGCCCCTACTGAATTCTTTTTTAGTTCAAATAGTGTTTCAGTAAATTTCCTTAGATATTCTAGGTTTGCAATCTATTGTTTTAAAACAGTATTCAGTTTCTCTATTTCTATTTCAGCAGTTTTATCTTTCAGTCTTGCTATTTTAGTTACAATTTCTTAAATTGTATCAAAATTACATAGATAACAATAGACATTTTTACTTTCCCCTTAATTTTAATGGGATTGCCTTTATTGTTTCATAATTATGATTTGGCTGATACCCTGTCAAAAAGCCTGCTTTTTGCTTGACCACAGTTGCTGACTCATTTCATTTCACAACTGTTCTTGTTCACAGCTGTTCTTGTCCTATTAGGGTGGTACTGACTATTTACACTATCTTGGGAGGAACATGAACCATGACTTCCTCTGCTATATACCAATAGCCTATGGGAAAACCTTGCCTTTTCCCATGCCTAGCTACATCAAATCCTCAAGAGAAGGCACACATTTCTTATCTATTTCCCGGGTAGTCAGGTACTGTTCAGATGACAAAGGAAATGTACCTTACCAACTATGATTTTTAATTCATAATTATCTTTTTATTTTTATAAGGACCTGGCCATGAATGGTGAAGCTGGAAATGGTTCCAAACCCAGGTATCACCCAGTAATCAATGTAATCTCAGAACATTCAGAAACTTTGTTGCAAATACTCATTTTAATCAAAACAAAAGTCATCCCAATGTCAAAAGAAAATGGATTTATAAAGGTGAATTAGTTTTTAATTTTGTTTTTATTTGTCTGTGTGTTTGTAATACACAAACAAGATATAATTAAGCCAAAGTAAAGATGAAGAGAAATTACATATGTATTCCATTTTCTGAGGCTTCTAGTTCCTTAATTTAAAATTATCTTTTGGAAAGAAGGAACACACGCAAAAATTTCTATACTTGAGTACTTGTGGTCAGGAAAATCACCTTTTTCTTTCACTTTAAATGCTTTTACTTAAGTACTCTTCTAAATGCGCAGTAAATGTTAATATGAATTGCTGTAGCGAATAAACTATTATGGCATTAGATGTTAACCCTATCATGTCATTTTAGTCTTCAACAGTAATTTAACATCTCACTTGTGTACTTAGTGGCACTAAATCAGAAGATGAAATGGAGGATTATGTTTAAGTATTTTTAGAAAATCTCCCTTAAAGATCTCAAATATTTTATTTATTCACATTAAAATGTATTGAACATAGTGCACAACTGCTATGTAAAAGTACTGTGTTAAGCATTAAAAGCATACAAGGAGGAATAAAACGTGTTTTATTGCAGTCTTATAATTGGAAAGATGAAAACATGAATATAAATAACTATAAAACAAGCAACAGATTTTATATAGTTCAGTTACTTTACCGAAGAATTTTTTACTGAAGGCAATTCCTACGATTTAGGACAATTACATCCTGTAAAATTCAGATCTACCTTTCCTGCATGAGAATTTTGTTTATCCGTAAAGACACTCCTAAAAACAGTTCCTTGAGCAAGAGAGCCTGAAATGTAGCAGCATGTTCCCTGGAGCTACGAGGACAAGGCTTTTGGCCAGTGAAACAAGTTAGTTATGACTTAAGGGCTTATGGAGGTCTGTTGTTCCCAAAATGTACTGATGAGAATAATATTTGTAAAAGGTACATTATCTAACTAGTATACATGAGTCAGCCTGTGTTCACTTCAATCTGTGCCATCTTTAACCGCTGTCTAGTTTCCTTAACACTTTGGAGAAACTGAGACAACACAGCATAAGTGCCATCTAGTGGTAAAGGGTCTCCTATCTGCATTAGGAATTCAAAGAAAGAAAACATTTCCAGCTGGAATGATAACAGGGAAGGCTTTATAGATGAGCAAACAGATCCTGAAGATAACATAGTTATTTCAAGAGCTAATTGGGTGTCAGAAGCAGGAAATGTATTGACAGAACAGGGAGAGAAATGTCTGGCTAAGCAGACAGTTTATGTCAAGAGTGGAAGATATGGTTAGAAAAATAGTTGGGTCAGAATGGAAAACTTGTGGGGGAAAGTTTCGTTTTCACCCTATGAAAAACAAGAAGCAGTCATCCATCCAATCAATGTCCAATGAGTAATTACTGTGTAAGCACTGTATTACCTTCAGGGTGTACAATAATGAACAAAAACAAACAAACAAACAACAAACCATAGTTCCAACCCTCAAGGAATTTCTAGCCTGGACAAACATTAGAAATGTTATTGAAACTTCTGACCAGAAAAGGAATGGAGAGTCAAAGATGTGAGTTTGTAGCTCAGCTCAACCACTTACAGGAAGTTGTTTAACCTCTGTGTCTAGAAAAAGAGAACTATCCTATCTATTTCACAAAACTGCACTGAAGAGAATATATAAAATACACATCAAACAGCTTTCTCAAACTGTAAAATCTTACATAAATGTACAGCATAATAATGAAAACAGTGTTTTAGAACAAATATAGATAGAGGTTATGCAAAATAAAATGAAGGAAAGAAATGCACTCAGGGAATCAAAACCCCACCAATGCTAAGAAGGTATGTAATAGAATTTATTCAGCAATATAAAAACAATCCATCTACAGCATACCTGATATGGCAATCTTTCCTTTACAAGCGGTTCGTTCTTTACTTTCAAAATTCACATCACTGTTAAAAGGAAAAAACCTAATGAAAAAAAGATCTTTTCTAATAAGCAATGTCTTAACAATCTTTCACAAATGCTTAAATATTAAAAACACACACATATCCATGCATAATGATTTCCAGTTAATATGACTACTTCACTCAAATTTCACGATGTTTAGGCAACAGCTAGCTGCTTTTAAGAGAAATATATAGAAGCACTCTCTTTCATTTTTCATATAATCTTTACATTCCATGATGATTATATACTGGCTTACCCTACAATGAAAGCCTTCTGTGAACACTTAATTTATAAGTAAGATGTGCAGTATTTGTTCAGGTACCAGGATGGATAATACCTAGGCTCACCATTTCATAAATCACATTTCTATCTTACCAGATTATAGTTGTCTGAAAAAGCTAGAGAGCTTCCCAAGCATAAACTTGCTGCTCAGGAGTATTTTATCTTTATAAAAACCTAAAAATACCAAAACAATTACTCTGTGCTATATATTTATATGCAGTAATATATATCATTCTTTGAAACTCAGAAAAACAAATATTAAAACAATAAATTAACTCAGGAACGAAAAGATGGGAGTGGCTCACAGAAAGAAAAAAAATATGGAGTAAAACACTGTCATGACAAGAGGAAAAAACTCTCAAGTAAAATTCCTGGTATATAAGAGACTCCAACAAGATCTGACTTTAGAATATACTATTACCATTTTAAAAAATTCAAAATACTTATCTCCTGGTAAATCAAATCACTCTGACCCTTGAATATTTTTCTAATATCTTATTTCCTAATATCCCACATGTAAAAATTAGCATTACATTTCTGGAGCAATATTTCTCAGAGTATTCTGCTTTGCATTTTTGGGGGGGGGTCTCCACTTAATTTGGTTAGTTAATTAACTACTGGCTAATTAAATTAGGTGCTTCAAATAATGTGATAAGATAAAAACTTTTCATCTGAATACTGTTTGATTCTAAGAGAGCTTTTGGAGAAAGGTTGGGTGGGATTCTGAAATGCAACTAATTTTCAGAAGAGTATGACACCATCTCATTGCGTTTCAGTAGGCAAGTTAAAAAGACTACACAGATATTCTTTTTCTTACATCAAAACTTAAAGACAATATATCAGTCTACTTCTCTTACTCTCTTACTCGATTAAGCACATAAGCATTTTAGGCAAAATCTATTCCATATGAGCTAAAATAATATACTGATGTACTTAAGTTGATAAATTTACATAAGACATGTATATAGTATTTATAGAACTACATATGAGCTATAACTAAAGTAATGTAGTAGACTTTAAGCCATAAATTTCAGGATCCTATCTAATTTCTTCGTGGTTACATTAGTATTTAAGTTAATATAGGAAATTCACTAAGTGAAAAATAAAAGTACTCATTGATTATTTAAAAATAATGTTTCATTAAATCATAAATTCTAAGAGTCTAGTTCAATATTTTATACTCAAGTTTAGTTTGTCAAGTTGGAGAACAGTAGCTTGCTTATTACTTAGTTGATCACAGAGGAAAAGTTCAGTTGAATAGCCTGCTATCAGGCACACTAGAAATCAAACACAAATCTCAATTTCCTCAAATTGGTATAAGAAATACAATATATATATACAGTTGGCTGGCATTTGTAAGTAATATTTCTAAAAACATCTTCTATATGAGCAATGAATAATATAAATTCTTAAAATGCTTATTTCAGTGAAGAAATATAAGAAAGGTCTAATATGGTGAGTAACTTGAGTTTTATGGAAAAAGTGATAGATTATGCTAAAGTTGAGATCCATTAGATATTACTAAATTGGATTAACTGTGAGGCTTTGGCAGGTGAGTGAAATTCTGAAATATAAGAACCACCAAAGCAAATTTGTTGAAAATGTACTACCAAAAAAAAAAAAAAAAAAAAAAAAAAAAATTCCCCCTTAAGGATTCAACCACATGGCAGAGTACAGCTTTCTTCCCTATAATTATAATTTACTTGCATAGGCATTTCCAGGGCCAGCCAACAAAGCTATTATAGATAAATATTATCAAACTATAATATAAACCCATTTTATCATATGAGCTTACAGAATAATTAAGTCTTTTTAAAAAAATGAGAGACACATTGAACTAATTCAGCCTCATTTTGCTGAAGCCTGAATTATCTTCAATTCAAATAACTCTTCAAACTGTTATTTAGGGTGCTAAAATGTGATGTTTTTCTAATTAATCCAAATTGACAATAAAATTGTTAAACATTCTCTGTTTAATAATGTGCTACTGTAGCTAATAGTTTGCTACAGTTAAATAAATACTTGTTTGAAAATCTGCAATGTTAATGCCAATTCTAAATGCTACAATTAGAGAGCCAGCCTGAGGAAAAAGCAAATAACCACAAAATTATCCAAACAGAGACACAGCAAAATAGTAGTGTACCTTCCTCTTATAAATCCAGTTTAGAGCATTATTATGGTGAGACTTGTAACTGCTAATTTAAGAGATAGAGACAAAAATATTAAAGACGAACTTTTAATTTTATCTTATTATTTAATTTCTGCCTGTAGGTAAACAAAATGACCAACAGAGGGTGCCAATCAACCACTTTGTTGCTCAAAAATCTGTATTTAAAATTGACTAAGTATAGATTATCCTATTTTATATTATTCAATACGGGAATTTAAAATAGAATTTATTTGCCAAAATTAACAAAGTTTAATGAGAAATTGAACAATTATGAAAGTATTTTATATTTTCTTAATGAAGTACTAAGAGAATTCTAACTGGGATCCTATTATTTGGAAGCATGTTATAAAATCCTTCACCTCTTATGCAAATGAGTGAAAACTCAGACATTCAGAAGAGCTTAATGTGGAATTTTAAACATCTTAAGTTATGTGGTATAAAATTAATAACTTCATAAGTATCTTAAATTGGGAAGATGAGGTTTCTATTTTAAACCTTGACATAACAGACTCAACAGACATAAAATACTATAAAGTTTAAAAAATAAAATCAGCTCTGTTTTTGATATACCATGTTCTAATGCCAGGAGTACACAATTCTCATTTGCTATCTATACTTTTTCTTTTTTCAGTTTATTAGTATTTAAGCAATATATTAGGCAACTGGATTATAAGAAACTGGTTAGTGTGGTGTTATTAAAAGCGCAATTATGTTGAATGATATACATAATTAGGCACTACAAATTACTTTGACTAATAGCATTTTTATAAAACCAAATAAAGTATTTCAGAAGTTAAGACAAGAAATACATTGGCAGGTTGGGAAAGGAGAGAATATTATTACTTGAATGTACGCTCTATAAGCATAGGGATTTCTTCATCTATTTTGTTCACTGCTGAATCACCAGTACCTGGTATACAGCTGAGTACATTGTAAGATACTCAACAAAATTTTAGTGAATACTGAATGAAGTGAAATATATGTAGCCATTGAAAGAAGGAGGGAGTATTTAGTAGGTTCAGTCTAAATCTTAGGTCTGATTCCTACCATCAATAACTACTTATGCTAAAGAGTTGCTGTTAATCTCTTAGCCTCAACATCATCATCTGTAAAATAGGAGAAATATCTACTTACCTCATAGGTACTGAATGAAGTAATATTTTAAATATATTCTATGTCATTCTTAGAAATGTCACACAAACAAGGATTAGTTTGTATTTATATTCTTGGCCTCAATATTTAACTTGAAGCTTAGGTGGAAGAGGCATTAAAACATTTGTTAAAGTAATCAGAGTATGACTCCCCAGCTCCTGTAAGATAATGGTAGCTAAATCTGAATTTCTTCAGGTATCTTACAAAAGCTTTTAGATCAACAGGAAAGCAAATAAAATCACCTATAGCCCATACTTCACAGCATAACTAGAAAACAGAGACTACAACAACATTCTATTTACATATAAGTGGAGAAATTGACAACTGAAACCATCAAAGTCAACTCCTGGAGTACCCACTGCAAAACACAAAACCAACCTGTGATCTCTCCTAGAAGAAAAGACAATGGATATAAGACCTGAATGATACCATAGCCCTGGTTCCTATAGAGAGCTGAAAGGGACTGCTAAAGAATTCTTGTTCAGAAGTTATTAGACTTATGGAAAGAAAGACACACAATGAAAGAGGTATCCTTTCAAGGTATGCCCATGAAGAAAAAAGCAGCAGCAGCAGCAGCAGCAGCAGAAGAAGAAGAAGAAGAAGAAGAAGAAGAAGAAGAAAGCAATTGAAGTTAAAAGCCTTAAAAAACAAAATAATATTTTTTAAAAAATCAGGAAACCAACTAACTAACATCTCAAAGGCATCATTTATTAAAGAAACTGCTCTTTGGAGTTCCAATAATTGAAAATACTGTTAGACAAACAAACAAACAAAAAACAAGTAAGCTCCTCTACCCACACATTATCAGTTGGTCCAGGAGAACTCTAGATCCTGCATACTTAACAAGGAACCGAAGAAAAGGGACCTAAACATCCATAGAAAGCTACTATAAAACAAAAGTAGGAGGAGTCAAAATGCTACAGCTGACAAAAATATGCCATCAACCACTCTCCAAAAAATATAAAGTAACAAAAGCACGATATTCCAAAATGAATTAAGAGCAGTTAAATAAGCTATTACAAATAAGAAAGAAGTGAGGAATCTGAAATCTTTAGATCTCAGACTAGTAAGGGACAAACAATAGGTAAATATGAAAAAAAAAAGAGAGAGAGGTAAGAAGAAAGAAACTGTAAAAAGTAAAACAAAATCATTTCTGAAATGATGAGTAAAATACAAAGTGCTCAAGGATGAAGACATAAAATTGAAAATACGTTAAGAGACACAGTGGGTGAGAATGAAAGAGCCAAAAGACAAAAAAATGAGATAAAGACTTTAAAAACATCAAAGAGAAAGTGATAGACATAGAAGACAGGCAAAGAAGAGCCAACTTATGTGTAATTGGCATCCTTAGATAATTAAAAACAAAGTTAATGAGACACTTAATGCCTTATTCTAGAG